ACAGACAGAGACAGACAGACGGACAGTCTCAGCGTCGTGAGCGACCGGTCCGAGCAAACCATACGAAGCGCTTACGATTGAACATGCAGAAACATCAGCTGGGGCTGCTTAAAAATCAAATCAAACATTCAGACATTTATCCAAAAGAAGCCGCGCGATCGAGACATTCAATGATGTTACGAAGTTCAGAATACAGATTCGTGATGGACATGACAGAGGCGAAGTTGAATTGGGACTCAGTATCCGCGGAAAAGCAGTCAGTCTTACCAAGGACCTGCAACTCAGACATTTCAAAACATACCTAGCGAGATGATTTAATCTTGGAAAGCGGTCGGGGAATGCTGTATACGATTCTATCGCTTCTGGAGGTCTAGCCATTGAACATTATCTTGTAGGCTGCATGCGAAGGGCTTCGAACTTTTCCATCCAAATCTCTGAGTTTTTGAATCATCTCTACAGATGTCAGCATGCATGCAATGTTCGCGGACAGATGTCTCGATAGGGAACCCGGGTCATGAGACGGTCCTTGCTATCGACAACTTCAGACTTCCACAACATCGAGTCATGAGAACTTGGACCTCCAATATGGCGTGCATAGCTGCACAAAACCTGACATCACACACGCGTGCACTTTTCCTGCATCTCGCGATCAAAGGAAGTTCTGCAGATGTCTTCTGCACACCCTGCGCTTCAAGGCCCGTGGGAGGGCCGCAAAGTCCGTGGGTTGCAGGGGAAGTATGGCAGCAGCTTCGGAGTCGACATAGTAGACCTGCAAAAGAGCAGCTCTGGTTGAACTTGGGGGGTGCCAAAGCCACCCCAAGAGCGCCTTCCGCTTGTCGCCCCAGGGCAAAGACCGGATCATGTCCAGCATGCCAGGTGCAATTCGGCCTCAAGCGAAGGCTTTCTTATGCCTACCTCTGCAACAAATCCTGCCGATCCTGCCCTCCCAGTCCCAAGTGGCACTGAGCTCTTATCCGAAACTCCAGTTGTAGCCCACTCCCAGGCACACTTTTCTGTCCAGGCCGAGCAACTTAGCCGTAGCCCAGGCCAGACAATATATCTTTGGACTGCACAGTCAGGTACTGTGATTTTGCTGATAAGGGCTGAACTTTGCGGCCAATTGCCCTTGCAGCCTGTCGGCTAAGAGGATATTAATATTTCGACATGTGATCCAAAGTCGACCTTATACATCCGTCATCCGTGCCTGCTTCAGCCCATCTTTGATACTCGTCGGAAAAGTATAGGACTTTATGTCGAAGACGCGCGGCTTGAGGCAGATCTCGGCGCTGTTACCACGGGTTTCGAAGTCTCACTCGACTCTACTCTGCACAGCCTAGCCTCGTCACTCCCCGCACAGTCTCCACAGGGGTCCTCAGACAAAATTCGAGCGTTCTGTCACCATGTCCAGCATGGGCTAACCGTGTGAAGGTGTTCTATTTTTCGAAGTGACAGGGTCATGGCATGCTTTCGCCACTGCAAAACCCTCCAACGCCCAGTGAGCAACAAAGCCCAAAGTGCTCCTGCTTTCGATCAGTTCAAGCAGAGACTAGAGCTTGTTTGTGGAGCATTGCTTTTGCAGCAGCCTCTCCCGCATCGCGTGTTGCCGTAACTACTTGCAATCGTTGCAGGCTGCAGATGGCAGCAGGTCCTGGATCCAGCCTACGCCAGAGGCCATGTCGTACGAATAGTTGTGGTGCAACACCTCGAAGGCTTTGACGTGGGGAAACCTCCTGTAGCTGCTTGTACGGCAACTGTCAAGGCTCACGCCGTCAGGGGCTGGCAAATGTAGACCTCTTTGTGTCCTTTTCCTTGGCTGAAACAGCTGGCTGCCAGAAGTTGGCACCCTGCTGACCTCCAGATGCTCAAGGCCGAGGATCTAAGGCCGACGGCCGCCAACATCTTCCACAGGTTCGCCATAGGACCTGAAAGAGTGAGTATTTCCAGAACTTGGTAAGGACTTGCCGGAAGCGGTTTCAGCATGAATGGCCTTCCTCGTCATCTGGATGCATGAGCTGGCTTCGACAACATTCTGCCCATTCGCCCGTGTCAACCTCAGACATTCACTAACAAAAGCTTCGAATGCGTTTCAGCAAGCAAGAAAGCTGATCAGGCAGCCGGTCGGCTTCAGGTGTTGAAAAGGCTGCCTGACTCTGCAATCCTGAATTTTCTGAGTAGGTCTGTCAAACTACATTTTGAGCCTCAGGTGCACTGAGGTTCTGGCCGTGTGGACGTATTCAGGCGCCCGGCACGGAGTACGCTGCGGCGAGACATGACTCATGATCAGTCGACAGATACGCTGGGAAACTAAGTTCGACAGAAACATCATACACAATGACTGCCGGCAGGAACAGCTTGGGTGCCTCAGGGCCCTTGTCTGTCACCTCCCGAGGTTTGACACTCATCCCTCCGATTCGTTTTCAAGCATGGCTTGGGCCCCTGCTCGTCGATTTCGCCAGAGGTCATTTATCTGCGACCAGCGGCAAACGCATCAATTGCCCTCGCATGCTTCCAGACTCGGCACATTGACTCTGCGCCACCTTTGCGCAACCTTCTGCATGACCATCGACGTACTCCTGTCATGCATTCTAGACCGCACTGCAGCGATGCGAGTGTCTCTTGGATTTGTGAGACCGCGGAAACTGCAAAGGACCGGGCCTGCCCAGAACTCCCCGACGTGCGTTAAACAGGCTTGCGACACAAGGGATCCGGCTGCATGGGTGCAGTCCACATAGAAGGATGTTGCCTGCTCAGTGTACAGCTACTGGAAGCAATGCCCTATTCGATCTCGACAGCTACTCTATGCAACCATGATGCAACTTCACATTTTCAGTTTCTTTTACGGACCTTGCGCAAAACCGATGGATTTGCACAAGTACGGCAACCAGAGCAAGCCTCCTGTTCTGTTGGGGGTCCGGGGTCGAGCCGCATACTGCCTTCGCTTTCCATGCACGATAGCGGAGCTGGCGCAGTTTCTCGGTCTCTGGTTGGCATGCTTGTTGTCTCCCTCTCGCTCCCGGTCTTGCTCCTGCCCCTTGTGAAGAAGATTCCCAAATGCGGCTGAGCTTGTCAAGGGCCTCAGACTGCACATCGTTCTCCAAGCCCAAGCCCGCCCCCAGCCCACCCACCGCGGCTGCAGGCTTGCGGCTTGGGCGGGCGCCCTTTCATGTTCGACTGGCTTTTTTGACCCTCGGTACTTGCAACATCCCAAGCTCTCCACAACTTCCACACTTCTGGAATTTCGGGTGCGTGCTCATTACAGCGACTTCGTACACTCATGGCTGCTACTGCCTACTTGTTCTGAGGACTTGGGGAGAATTTGATGCGGGTGGCCTTTGTTCTTTGAGGCCTGAAGATCGAACCTGTGTTTCTATTCGCATCTGTTGGGTCCTGAGTCTTTTCCACCTGTCTTCGCGAGCTCCAAACTCTGTTGACAGCATGTTGAGCGCCAGCTGATGAACATTGGGCATTCATCGCGGCTTCGACGAGTCATCCTGGGTTCAACTTGAAAGTTTTACTAACCCAAAGAGCGAGCCTTGAGCCTTTCCTGAAGCGATACTACTTCCGTAGGCTCGAAATGCCAAAGGGGGCATGTCAAAGAGGTGGCCTTGTACATGGGCTGAATTGTCTCTGTGTGCGCCGCGTGCGCAGTGAGCCATCGCACGTCCGTCAACTATCCTGCTGCATGTCACTGAAGCTTACAGGGCTTACACAAGACTGCTCGACTATTTGCTCTGCAGGTTGTCACTTTGCAAGTGGCTACTTTGGACCGCTTCATGAAGCCAACAAACAGATCGCCTTTCTGAAGCAAGGTGTCCATGCAGAACCCTGAATGCCAGTCGTTTGGGCACCGATGCAACGTTCTGCGGCTCGAGTGGTGGCCTTCGGCCAACCTGCCATTCCTACTCAACTACTGGCTAATTCGAGACACGGCGACTGTGCAGGTCTCTGCACGGGTTCACCGATTATTCATGAACTCCGTGAAACAAGTCCTCACAGACAGTTACTCTTTTATCGATCTGCCTATTCTGCGTTGTGAGGTTGTGTAGTAAGCAAACTAGGTCTAGACTCCCACTTACATGTCGAAAAGGATGCACTCACGCACGGAGTCACCAGCCTGCCATCCAGCCACACCGTAAAGGGAAGCAAAAACTGCGTACTATAATATACTATCATATGAATCCTATACTATCATATACGATCATATACTATAATATACTATAATAATCTGTAAAGGGAAGCAGAAACTGCACGTTGCGCCTGTGGCCGGCAGTGCCGCCAGGGGCAGTCGCGGCCTGCTTTGCAGCGAGAAGACTTGGCCCACTCGGCCTCGGTGGCGTCGGCCGCTTGCTTTAAGAATACATGATAGTATATGATAGTGTATGATAGTATATCATAGTATATTGTAGTATATTATAGTATAAGCTCAGACTCTTAATTGAATTGGGCCAGTTGCACACACTGGCCGGGCATCATCCACAGCAGCATCACCTCAGGCGTTTAGCGGACTCAGCTCTCTGCTTTCTGTGTACTCACATGCCAATCGTGACGTTCGTTGAGATTTAGAGCTCATGGCTGAGGTTCTGCCTGCTCAAGCGATGAAGCTCTTGGGGACTATGCGCCAAAGATCGCCAAAGTTTGCGCAGCCAGCGCTGCTTTGCATTCGCCATCGCATCAGCACTGCGGCTAGGACTAGCACACGTGAGCGCGCATACCACCACGACTTCGTGAAGGCCTCGTTGACGTTTAGGAACACCGTGACGTGAGAGTATGGCAAGGGAAGATCACCTTGTCTCCACCGGGCAATCTTGGATTTCTATCCAAAATTCGACAGAGCTGTCAGTGTCAGCCGAGAGTGAGCTGGGTCAAGCTTCGCGGTGTTGCGGCTTGTTGTGCCAGGTTTCTGTGATTTTTGTATGTTCAGGTGGGTTCAGTACTCGTGGGCTTTCCAAAGCCGTATTCTGCTCATGTGTTCGTTCATTCTTTTGGGATGTCCTCGAGACACAACGGCAGGAGAGTCACAGCGCCTAGATGTGTTTTTCGCCTTTGTACCTGAGGTTGCCTGACAAAACATGCCACATGGTCGAGGACTATGGAAAGGTGATTGGGAAGCATGTCAAGCCGGGTTCTTACATGCCGTCGTGCTCCAGACGGCATCCGGAAAAAAAAACAGCTGCACACCTGCAGAAAATCCTCAAGGTTTTGTCGGGCACGTCACAGAAGACACCGGCAACCTCTCAAGCACAGCTCACGCTACCCTCTTGGGTTGCCGGCCCAAGACTTCTTTCGGAGGTAGAATATCCACACCCATGTCACCTTCGAAGAACATCAGCTTCAAACATCGAACCAAGACAACGCTCGACTAAGAGGTCTCGTGTGCAGAAGACTAATTCTCTACAGGGTTTGCTCCGCAGGTTGTCGCCTCCTTGCGATGAGCCCTGCTCGTAGGTGTAGGTGTCACCTTTCACATGATTCGGTACGACATACATTGCATGACCAGTTTCGCAAGATATGCTTGATTTTTAGTTTTCCCTGTCAAAAGATGGCTCTGTCTGAAGCCGGATTCTCTCTAAACGGTTACGGAGACAGGCGTGGTGCCTGTGATTGGCCAGACAGCTCTTTGGTGGCCTTTTGGCAGCAGCTTGATACCTGCAGTGTTCGACTTCCACCACTTGCTCCTCTCTGGAAAGCCCCACGGATTTCCCAACCTTCGCCGTCTGGATCCAGAACGCATCGATCGGAGGGAAGCTCGTGGGTGCGTGCAACCAGCGCCGCTAGAAGCGCCTGTGCCTGGCGAGAACACTCAAGGCAGTACCGAGACAGTGCCTCTGCAGGGCCTCCTTCATGTGCGACTCGCTGATGTCCCGAGACTCTGCAACCTTCAGCCATGTCGATTCGTTAGGCTCAGAGTATCTTTCCGGCCTCCCCGAAGTCTTTGCGAGCCTGGACGGCAGCACGTAGATCTTCAATATGCTTCCATCCGCCGCTTCGCACCTTGCTCGTGGAGCTTTCACGGTGGCACGACAGCTTCAACACATGCACCTCGCTCTCGGCCATTTTGAACATAGTCGTTGCTATCCACGGCCTTGGACTAGTGGCCACTACTGAAGCTACACTGCCTGCATGCCCGTTGAGCTCCGAGTTTCCAGCTTGCCCACGACAGGTGCCTCGGTCAACCTTCCAATACAGGCCATCACAAGGTGATGCAGACATATGAGAGCACCTGCTCGCCCTTAAAAAAGCTGCAGATTCGTATCAGGGACTCCAGGACAAGATGAGACTTGCGGACTGGCTTTGATATAATTTAATAGCCCGGAGACCCTCCAAAATCGGCCTGACTTGGGCAGCCCATCGCAGATCAGGGCGAGCTTCCTGCGCAGACAGCTCGATGCAACTCCGTGCCTTTACACTTTGGCGCGCAGCAGCGGCAACATCCTCTACGGCTCGCAGTAGTTCTCTCTCTGCCTGGCAGCATGTGATCTTGACGTAACAAACTTTGTCACATCAAACTCCAGCCTCCAGGGTGCTCAGCCATTTCCTCGGTTCAATGACTTAGAGCTGTTGCCACTTCGAGTCGCATGCCCATGTGGTTACTTGGAAACGCGGCCGAGCCACTCTCCCTTCTGAAGAACGTCTGCCACACCAGCACGAACCTGCCGGCAACAGTGCTCTACAATCACCTGCTTCTGGCATTTCTTTCGGCAAAGGCTGCCTGAAGGCCCCTTGATCGGGCTATGGATATGGCATCGCGCAATAGCTTAGCCTGGAAGGGGTCCGGATCGTTCGCCCTGCCCACCAAATGTCGCATTCCCTTTAGCGAAACGATGTCCCATGCGTCCTCAAGCGCAGCGCAAGCTTCATTGTCTCTGCGCTCCTCTTCGATCTCATGTGCAGGTCTCATTGGTGGCAGAGGTGCTTCGCGCTTCTTGTTGCGAGGCAGGTTGCCAGATGCAAAAAAAGTCACTGGGTCCGCGTGGTAGGCATTGAGAAGGCGGGCTGGTCCAAGAACCACTTTGCGAATGTGGCTGGTGTTAACCAATCCCATATAGTAACAAGCCAGGCAAGAGCATGTAAGTCCAATGACGACGAGAATCGCACTTCCGGCCCACGCATAATCAGAAATCTGTTGGGCGAAACTTGGTGCACGTGAGGTCGTGCCCAGGCTGCCAAGAAATTGATTATAAGCATCTAAGCTTGTTGTAGTACGAAGCCTCTCAATCATGTTGGGTGGAAGCCGGCCAATCCACTCGGGCAGCTCCAGAGCAAGCATCGGAGAGGCCTCTCGCTCACCCGATGGACATTCGTCAACAGTTTGTACGCAGCAGTGGTCCCCTGTGCAATAATATGGATCCTTGCACATTACAGGCACATTGTTGGGACACCGCCACCTGAATTTGTGCGTGTTGCAAACTTGCATGGTATCAGCATGGCGTACGTCCACTTCGTGCGTAGTTTTGTCTACACACTCCATGACATTATCCTCTGGATATGGTGTTTTCCAGGCTTCTGGGTTGTATGGTTGCTCTGAAACTAAGTTCACGCAACCCTCGACTCGCCACGGCAATTCCAAGCTCTTGCACTTGCCAGGAAGGCCCTCTATTGGGTAAGGCGGATCGGGCTCTCCCAGCTTGTTCATGAACTCACATAAGAAGCCTGCACAATAGCCACTCAGCGCGTACTTCTGGCTGAGTTCGACACCCCGGCGTCCAAGAAAGAGAAATTCGTAGATTTTGGACTCGCAGCCCCCTACGCTTGGGACTTGTAGTAAACCGAAAGAGGGACAAAAACACTCACAAAAGCCTTCAGCATCGCGATAAACAGTCTCGCAGAGAGTTTGGTTAAAGTTTACGAGTGGCCGGCATTCATCACCTCCGTAATACAGGTTGGTGCCTGCATGCGACAAGTTCGATGCAAGGTCTCCCAAAGCCTGACAATATGACTTGCGGCAATCTTCCCAGACTCCCAGTCCGTTAGCTGCCCACTCGCGACAGAGCTGGGGCGCCACAGACACGAAGCTCTGAAGCGCTTTGATCTGGAGCTCTTGGCAAATATCTGTGGAATTGGGATATGGAGCTGGCAGCCAACTACTGTGTCGAGCGCAGGTCGGCGTGTCGCAGTCAAAAAACTCGTTTCCCTTCGCGACCGACAAGAACCCCAACAGGCAGAGTCGAAGTGGAGCGGAGGGACGTCGACGTCTCTCAAGTAGCTGCTCCATGCGGCAAAGGCTCTCCGGAAGGCCGTGACAAGTGCGCTTGTGCCTAGTGACCTAGTTGTTTCCGTGCCGTATGCACATTAAACACGAATGAATGAGGATTGAAAAAGCCGACATTGTGACTGTCTAGAGTCTAGAGTCTAGGTCGGCATGTTTGTCTTGATCCGACAGATGAGATCTGAGCTGCAGAAGATTAACGCTCCAATTTGCGGGGCCGTCAACACTCAACACACACACACACACTCTCGCTCTCCTTCTTTCTTTCTGCAGGGCGTAGGGGTCGGTGT